GACCTCTGAACCAAGAATTTTGTGTTTCTTTTTCTCAGACCAATACAGCTATAAGATAGATCCCTGAAATTTTGGTGTTTATACATTTAGTTTGCAGAGCCGTGACTGCAGCCTGTGCCTATCTACCTGTGCAAACCTGCCTATTTACCTAGCTTTAAACTAGCTAGCCTTGGTACTGATAGGCATTTGCTGCAACAGGCAGAGCTCAGTGCCATAGCTGCCTATTTCCCAAGGGTCAAAGGCAGGTTTTGCAGCCTACTCTGAACACCATGCTGTCATGGCTACACTATTAAGTGTACCCATACTAGCCAGTTTAAAGGGTATACCCGAGTATGTTGACACACGCTTCAGTAAGAGGGAGTAGATATATCCTAAGTCCAGGTGAGGTGTGTTTTCCAAGCATTTCCTGCATTTACTGGGTCCATGCTAAGGCTTTTGTGGATCCTTTTCTTTCTGTCCTCATGCACCGCAAAAGAGATCTTAAACATCCAACTCAAACTCCCTTGTGTCAGTTTTGTGTGCGCAGAACTAGAGACTTAATAGACACTATTTTGAAAACATAGCCTATGATAGAGCTCAAATGAGAACTTTTGTCTTCCAGTCCTGGTGTCAAGCTGCCTGTCATTCTAAGATATTATTCAAATTTCAAGTGAAATGTATACAACCATTATAAAAACACATGCAAAACTAGCAGTTTGTACATCAACGGTTGAAACACCCGAAAAGGTTGGGCCAGGACTCAGGAAAATATTTTGTGCTGAACATTTCCTTCTGAAAGCTGATTAACTATGCCAAGGGTAGAAAGGTGAAACATTTAGCATTATTTCCCAGCAAATGTAACTATTGCCTATCCTTACCCAGTCAAAAAACATTCTTAAATAGGAGGGCAACTAAAATCATAAATGCATTGTCAAAAAGCTGTAAGGCAATAACTGCTGAAAACAAGTGATGCCAGTTTGGAAACGGATCTGCCTAGTTGAATGACTTATTTGTTTTCATTAACCTACATACAGTTTGACTTCCAAATTTTAAATGTTCTTAACCTAAAATCTCTGATAGCACTAAGGTGAATTTGGGTACCTAAAGCAGGATTGAGAAAGATTTAAAGGTTTAAGTCCAGGTAAACAATTCACAGAAAACCCACCTAATCCAGTGCAAAACCTTTTAGGCACCCATTTTGTGATGAAATCCAATTTAGATACCCAAAGTTCAGCTACTGCATATGCTCAGAAGCACCACCAGTTTGGCCAACCACCTGTTGCAATCTTGCAAGAATCAAAGGAATGCAAGAATCACAGGAGGAAAAAAGAGTGCCTGACATGGATTTGTCCAGAACAAATCATATCAAACCAACCTAATTTTTTGTATGATAAGATAAAGCTTTATGGATAGGGAGAAACATTAGATGTGATATCTTGATGGCTTTTGATACTTTTTCATATGACATCAGCAAGTTAGAGAAATATATTGTGCATGCAACTACTGCAAGGGGAGTACAAAAACTGTTTGGAAAATTGGGCTCATATCATAATAATGACTTACCTTCAAGCTGAAAGGATATACCAAGTGGAGCTCCACAGCAGTCTGTTCTGGGTCCAGAACAATTCAGTATTTTCATCGGTGACTTGGATAATGAAATAGAGTGCCCTTATTAAGGTTACAGAGGGTGTGTCCACATGTTCATAAACGCACTTTTGCCACAGTGCATTAAGCTTAGTACCTCTCATATGAGGTACTAACTCAATCCACATTAGGCTGCCCTAATGTGTGGTAGCAAAAGCACATCCTTTTTTAGCAACACTTAATGAGCAGTAGCATAATTTTACTGCACATTAGTGTATTAGCATGGCTACACTCTAATGTCCAAAGCCATGACACTCTAATGCCCAGTAAAATAGGTTACTGCACATTAAAGAACACATGTCAACGTGCCCAGACATGGGTGATGTGTAGGGGGTGCACGTGCACCCCTTGATCGTAGCAGTCCACCTTCTACAAAAAGGCGCAGCCGATCCCCGATGGCCATCACCGCCGCTGCTGGTGGTGACTGCAGGCGCTCGCCACCCCCCGCACCCCTGCCGACAGCGCCAGTGGCATCTGCAGGAGCTCCCCCACTTACCACCACCACACTCCCACCACCGCCATGCCCCTCCAAACACTGGGGCATGTGTCAATCATGTACCCAGATGACACCAAACCAGGAAGGGTTGCAAGCTCTTTGTGTTGAAAATAATTTTGACAAATTGCAGAAATAAATAGGATGCAACCCAGTAGGCAAGTATAAAGAATTACACTTAGGGAGCAATAACCAACCGCACAAATAAAAAGTGAGAATTAACTAGGTAACCATTCCACAGAAAAGGTTGTGGAAGTGACTTAAAACTGAACAAAGGTCAACAGCAAACAGCATATTTTGTTACTGTTGAGAGAAAGATTAAGGAGAGACACGATACCAGTTTTCAAATATGTAAAAGTTTAGGGGATGGGACAAGAAGGAAGGAAAATCGTTTTAGCTCTCAGGGTAGTTAAACACTGGAATAGATTACCTGGGGAGGCTGTGGAATCTTCATCACTGGAGGTGGAAAGAGGTGCTCAGCCTTCACGGGATTGAAACCCAGCTGCAGGTAGTTAGCAGTTAGTAGCCTGCTTGGCTGGAAGTCTGGGAGCCTGCTGCAAGTGATGACTAGTATAGAAGGGTGGAGTTACAAAGGTGGTTAGAAGCTCCAGGAGATCAGTGCAAGGTGAGAGGAGGCTATGGGAGAAACAGAGCCTGGGTTTCCCCTCTCAGGGTCTGAGGACCGACAGCAGGTTTTGGTTTTGTTTGTCTGTACATTTGCGTGTTTTGTTTTGTTTACTGTGGAGACAAGGTTGCCCCATGTAAAATAAACTGGCTGAAAACTGCACCCAGAGCTGACTGGCCTCAAGTCAGGAAGCTGGGCAACTGACCTACTTACTGGAGGTTTTTAAAAGGTGGTTAGACCAACATCTGACAGGAGTAGTGCACAGCATGAGAGAAGATACACTGACATATCAAGGTTCCTCCCAGCTCTATTTTGAAAAACTCTTATATCTTCAGTGCAAAATATAAGCAGATTTCAAGATCCGTCCTTTCTCTCAAAGCATCTTCATAGCCTTTCTATTTAATTAATATTCAAAAACATGAAGAGAGTAGCATCCTTCCTCTTCTTTTTGGTTTCAAATTAGTCTTCCAGGGGGATTAACAACATGGATCACATTTTAGAAGCATTTTCCGTAGCAAAAAAGAAATGTGCATATGAAAGGAAATATAAACACAAACAATCAAACAAACAAAACCCCACCGCAAAACAAAGCAAAGCTCACCCTGCAATTGAACCTTATGCATTACAAACTATCAGCATGGACATTATTTTTAAAACATGTACAATTATCAGTCTAATTTTTTCCTGATTTTTTCAGAGTAAGTGGAAGACTTGTCAAAAGCAGTGTGTGTGTGTGTGTGTGTGTGCGTGTGTGTGTGTGTGTGTTTGTGTAATAGGCATGGTACTAAGGTTTGGAGACCTTCATGTGGTAAGGTGGTCAGTATATACAACTTTCACATGAATGTCTTATAAATGAGACAAGAGGTTGCATTTATTTTAGAGAGCTTCATATTGTGTCATAAACATATACATTAATATTTTAAATGGACTTTAGAAACTTGTCAGCCATTTCCTCTCTTTCAAATGGAAGATAACTTTTAGCTTGGAAAAGTGGTTACTCTGAAAAACAACATAATGATAACCGTCCTGGTTAATAATTCCTGAATATGTAGCCATTGTGCTCTGTTATGGCAGCAGTAAGCAGCCCTTTTCCCATTGATTCTTATTATCCAGGTGCTACATTTGCTTTTTGAACCACCCCAAAGGAGACTCTATACAGCATGCAGCTTATTTTTCTTTCTCTATGGCCCAATTTTTGAAAAATGATGACTGATCTCAGTTCCCACGGGATCCAGAACAAGGGTCAGCTGTTCCCAAGCATTGGCATTACTGCTCTGTTAGAGTCCTCAAAAGTTCCAGCCCCAAATTAAGCCTGCCTTTCCCTGACTGAAGATCTCTAGCAAAGCAGCAATGCCAAAGCCTAATGCTCTTTGCCCAGGGGTGAGAAATACGCACCACTCCAGGCCAGCTGTGGTCAATCCAAAGCCACATCTTAAACCAATAAATGTCCACATCTGTTATGAATACCATCCTAAACTACTAAAATTGAAAAAACCAAGAGCTTAGCAGGACCTAATATTAATACTACTAATAAATTAGACATGTATGATTACTGAGCTTGAAGGTGCAGAAGCTTCCGGCTTCATGTGCTTAACCCCACTGCGTAAAAAACTATTGAAAGAAGTGCAGGATGCAGCTTGAAGAACTGAGCTGAATTACATTAGATGAGGTTAACTACATGGTGATAAAAAGAAAAGGAAAAAAAAACTAGTATGGTAACTATTATTAACACCTTACGGTTTGACTACACAAGACAACCACTAAGAGATATAGTTTATACTATAATTGTCTGAGCAGGTAGTGGGTTTTTATTTTATTTAATTTTTTTTGAAGCGGGGCGGGGAGATTAGCCATTCTCCAAGACTGAGTACCAGGCTCGATGATTTGGTGCTTTGCTCTGACATAGTAATCCCAGTGCTTTGAAAGGCTATTTGAAAATCTTTTTTTTACGTCCAATACTATGGTTTGTTTCCTTTTTCATTTCATTCAGCTCAGAGAAGAAAATAAAGGGAGTCAATTTCATAGCTATTTCTAGTTAATTTTGATAGCTGGTTCTCATGAATTACCCTGAGACCACAATTTGAGAGCACCGGGAATGGGAATAGGCCGGAAAACCAATTATATCAAAATAAAAGTAGTTTTTAGTGAAAATTAAAAAAATCCTAGGGAGAGTAAATATTAACTTTGGTTTTATTATTTTCCTAAGTAAACCTATATAACAGGACCTAATTTGATCTGACATTATCTCCTTAGAACAGAAAAATGTTCCGCCACTTCACCACTAAGAAAACACAGATACACCTGCAACTTTATTCATTTATCACAGATAGCTTCATATTTATACACTTAAATCCTGCATTTAGACATGAAGGCAGTAATAAAATATCTGTACACTACTTCTGTTACAAATATAAATCATATTTAAAATGACTTTACATACTCTATGTAGGCGTTTCACACACTAAACTGGGAATAACTACAGAATAATAATTTGTCACCAGTTGCTTCAAGTTATGGTACCATCTGTTTTTCCTTAGTCTTCGCCTATTGCATTGTAACGTCTAAAATAATTAATTAAATGGAACGGGGTATTTTTTTTAGTTAATAGACTTAGATTTAGCTATCAGTTTGCTAATATTCTCTCTCAAATGTTTCTAACACTGTTTTTCTCTCATTAAAGTGAATGCTACTTGTGTTCTTGCATATTTCTCTAACACAATTGGACTGTTGTCTCCGTTTCAAAAATCAACAACAAAACACTGTAACTAGTCGCTATAAACCTGTTGCTGATCAATACAGGGGTCTTGCAGCTATATGAATGTATGCAGTACACAACACACCAGCTAACAGGTATACCACTGCTCACATGCCCCTGGACAATATTTTTTCTCTCCAGAAGTTTTAATAACACTTTTTGTTTGGTCACAACATAAATCACAAATGGGCTTTGAATAATTTTGCAGATACTTACCAGCCAGAGAGAAGATCCACAAGCAATCTCTATGAACAACGTGCTACTGGGAAGTTCAGCTACTGGGAAATAGAGGGTGCTGGTATATGTACTGGCCTGGGAGGGCAAGAGGTGGAGGGGTGGTGTTGTCATTTGATTTTGCACAAGGGTCCATCTTAAATTAGGCTCTGGCTTGCAAGTGTCTGATAAATTAGTAATCCTTCCAGCCTCTAGAAGTAGAAAGGGACACATTTCTCTCCCATCATCTTTTCTCCTTCTAAAAGTTTCTGACTCTGAGGGAGGCAAAGAGGAGACCTCCAGCATTCTCCTTATTCTTATTCTCATCTGTTAAGGGTATCTTCACTACTCCACTCTCTGCCAACACTATTCTTTGATCCATCCATGGATGGATGGGGCCAGTTCTTCTGCCACTTAGAACAGCAGCAGCAACTTGAAATTGACTTTTTGATCTCCAGTTTCACTGCTCTCCGCAGGGCTCTGAAACGAATCAGTGGAATTGACCAGAATGGTTAATGCTGCCACCTGGAGAAGCTCTCCGCAGTAGGGATGGTGATACTGAAGCTGTCTGCCTACAGTCTTAGGAAAGGGTGGTCTTCAGTTCCATTGAAAGGGTTTTCTTCATACCCACAAAGGCTAGAAACTTCATTAAAAAAAAGGTTAAATCCTTTGAACACTGCAGCTATAGGGCTCCCTCATGTACCTAGTCACCACTGCTAAGTGGATGTTTCAGCCCCTGAGAACAAAAGAATCTCCAAACCAAACTAAAAGCCTGTTCCAAATATTGCTTAAAAAAAAACACTTTCTTGACACAAAAAAGCATTGTGGAATGAATAACTGGCCCTCCAGGCAGCTTAAGCATCTGCCTACAACTTTCCCAAATTCTATCCAACTTTACTTCTTTTGGTCGCTATTTCTCCTTTCCACATCTCTGGTCTTTAAATATTGCCTCTCTCTTCACTGATTTGACAACTTTCTTTTTGAAAACATATTTTCCCAACATATCTCAAATATTCAAACACTCTTTGCAAAACATTCCAGTTTTGCAATGTGGTTTCTAACACAAACATTCATTTTCTTGTGGATTACAAGTATTCGTTACAATAATAATAATAATTATTATAATAATAATTATTATAATAATAATGAAAAACTACATAAACCCATCCCAGTGGTTTGACAGTAAGACAAATACTTCTATTGTATACAAAAATATGATTAAGTGTTGTTTTTCTTCAGTGATGTAACATACCCTGGTGAAGCTGAAATAGCAAAAGGGCTACATAAACATGTCCATTGTCTTTGCTTTATGGAATGTAGATAATGTAATCTGGTTGATCGTATTGTGACTCTTCACGACAGAACAGTCAGAGTGACGGTTCCTTTTGTCCTTTTTAGAATAGCAACTGCTTCTTCATGGGTCACCCCTTCTAAGCTTTGCCCGTTGACAGCAATGATTTGATCCCCTCTCTTCAGATGGCCATCTTCTGCTGCTGCTCCCTGAAATTAAACAGCACATAATTTCTTTAACTGCCTGTTGCACAGTCACTAAATCCAAATAGGGTCTTAGATTATTACAGTACACAATAGAGTATGAAGAGTTTTAGTGGTGAAGGACTAGTTAGCTTTCATCATTAGAAACACGTGATCATTTTGACTTTATAAGGTGTTGCTTCTCTCTGCCTCTATATTTTTGTGGAAAAGTTCCATTGTGCAAACTTGACCAGATAGAACAAGTGGTACTGAGATGCCTTCTGATTAGCAAATCCAAAACAACTTCAAATTTAAAACAAAGTCTTGCCCCACCCATGCCTGTGCCTGACCCCTGCTGCCTGTCCCCCACCTCTCCCCACCTGCCCCTGCCACTTACTTTCTGCTGCTCTGCTCTGTTCCAGCTCTGGTGCAGTCAGCAGCAGAGGCTGCAGCCCAACGTTGCTCTGCCTGACCAGGCAGAAGCAGTGGTGGTGGCAGCTCTGTGCCTGGCCAGATCAAGGCTGGAGCAGAAGGCATTGTGAAAAACAGAGCTGAGGCAGTGCAGTCTTCCCCACACTCCCTCCAAGCCACATAGGCAGGTCTCCCTTGAGTACCCCCCACTCCCAACCAAGCGTTTGAACCCCATGGTTCCTTGGCCATGTGCCCCCCTGCCTCTGCTGCATGAGTCTCCCCTCAGTTCTGGCTTTGGCTCCAAGCCCAAGGCTGAAGCTGGAATTCAGCTGCCACCTGCCCTGGACTGGTAATTGAATCTAAGATGAGACTCCCTCCCCCCCCCATGTTGTTTGGGAGGAAAAAACCTTGCCTTGGATTTGAGTAAATACAGTATTATTAAAGAAGTAAAGACTACATGCTGTATAGCAGGTGTTGCTAACCTGCAGCAGATATGTCACACATACAGGCAGCTGCTGTCTTTGGCACACGGCACACTGGAAAGGGGGCAGGGAACAGAGCAACGGAGACTAGGGTGGAGCAGGGTGGCTGAGCAGACCACACAGGGGAAGGGGATTGGCATGGCACTTGGGGAGGGTATGAGGCTTAACTTGCAGAATGCTTAGACCCAACATTTGGCATACCTGTCAAAAAAGGATGGCTACCACTGCCCCACAGTATAGATTCTGTAGGTTAGATCTGTGGAGTTCTTAACTCCTCCAGCCCTCTTCCTTTGGATGGTATAGTTTTCAAACTCCAGAACTAAAACTGCAACTGCAAAATGTACACACTCTCTAAAATCAAATTAGTGGGAGACAGATCTAATCCAGCTCCAACTCCAACCTTACCAAAATCTGGGGATTTTTGATTGTGTTTTGACATGAACCCAGATCACCACATACGGATCCAAACTTCTCCAGAAATTCAGGGCTGGATCCAATAGACTGTTCCAGCCCATCTAAAGGTGCCTGCCCATGAGCCAGGAGGCTGCTCCGACACTATAATTATAGCGCATCGGACCAGACTTGATTAATCGAGTCTGCTGAAGCATGGTAATTACCATGATCCAGCCAGCCTCTGTGTCTCATGTATCAGTGTTCCCACACTTCAAAATGGTGGTGGGAGCACTTTAACTAAAGCTCATTCAATGAGCTTTAGATAAAGCACCCCATCACCATTTTGAAGCATAGGGATGCTAACATACAAGATGGTCCGTGCAATTTAATAAGAATGGCTCTGAGAGCCGTTCTTATTCAAGCCACCGCCGTCCCGTCCCATCCCCTCACCTGAGCACATGTCAAAATGCCCTGAGATTCCACAATTCATAGTAAGTAACTAACTTAACTATTAACTGAAGAGAATGCAATCAAAACATAGGTGGCCAAAGAAACAATGAAGTTGCATGCTTAAATCTAACTCTTGACAGTTGAAATAGAGACTGATGCACACAAATTGGGAATACTCAAAATTAGGCCCAGTTTGCCTAACTGAAGGACATCAAACTGCAGATACATGTGAAATAAAACCTTCACTCCAGCCTAAGGAAAGCGATTAGATGAGCTGTTACATTCCCCCTGGCTTCACCTCTGACCACACATTAAGAAATGAGGTGGCAAGCAATAATAAATTGTTTGAATTGTTTTATGCTCATGTACTTACCTTTGCAAATACAGTCTTAACATAAATAGGTAAATCTCCATGGGGGCTGCCATATCCTCCCACAATGCTAAAGCCCAGACCATCCGGTCCTCGATCCAGAGTAATGGTTTTATACTGAGGGGGTCTGCAAGGGAAAGAAGGAATGGTTCTTTTTCTTTTATGAGCATTCTTTTGTAAACATACTCCACATTCAGTGTTTAGCACAATGGCTCTTAAACTTTTAACACTAACGACTACTGGCAGCACTAATGTGTTTAATGTATATTGCTTTGAATAGTTCAGTTTATGCAAACCACTGAAACCTTGCTTAATGCTGTAATGTGTTTACTTACTTCATACTTCCCTTTCATAACATTTTCCCTGGTATTTTACCTTACATTTGTAGAAGTATATTTACATACTCACCTAATGCACTGGCCAGTGATTACTGGAATAGTCCAGTATCAGGGCTTATTAGCTAGTAAACACTAGTGTAACCCTTCTACCAGGCCTTGGTTCAAATTTGGAGGGGGGTTGACTGTAGCCCCACCCAGCACCCTGGGAAAATCTACTCCACCGGTGGTCCTAAAAGAAAAACATTCCCATTTACAGGCAATCTGAACAGACAGAACCATTTATTAAAGGTAATTTAATAATCAAAATAAACTATTCTCATCTAATCTCCCCTTCAGCTATTCCACTCCACAAGCATTATACCCCCAAACAGCAAATAGTCTCATACTAAACACCCCCCAAAAAGCAAACAAGAACCCCTAATGTCCAACATTCAAAAACATTCGACATCCCAAAACCAATTTCCCCTAATGTCCAACTTCTCTAGCCTTCAAAATATAAAATATACTGAGCACTTTAAAGTCTTCAACATACCAGGCCAGTGGCAGACATTATACTTGTGATTAACCAGTCATGTCTTCAGTAGTACTCTAGCCACATGTTTATAGAATCAATGGTGCGAGAAAACAGAGAATAAGCCACAAAGTCATTACACAAAATCTGTGTAACATCTTTGTGGTGGGCTCCCATTGCACCTTAAAAAGAACAGGTGGCCAGGCTGATTAGCACTTCCAGCGTAGGGAAGGCACTGGAGCCCTTGACTCCAGTGTGCTCCCAAGGCCAGGAGTGCTAACCAGCTGATAAGTGCCCTCAGCCTGGGGACTGCATCAGAGCCTTGATCCCGGGATCTCCCTGCACTGACAACAGGGCATAATTAGGATCTGATCCCCAGTTCCACAATCACACTTCCTGCCATGCGCATGCAGAATGGCAGGAGGGGCAATTGTTGGGATTGTGGAACACATCCCATCACACCTTTAAGAGAATATCTGCCAGGGACCTTAATATCACACATCTTGAAATACCAACTCTTTGGCCTCTTGGGCCGAAGTTTCAAGTGCCACCTTGCCACACCAGGATTCAAAACCTTGCCCAGTCGAGCAGAAGGGCAAGAGAGGTTCCCCCCAGGTCACTGGGGAAGTTTCTTGTCCTTCCAGGCTGCTCCCCGCAATTGCTACTTGCTAATGGTTGCTGCTCCAGGAGCACTGCTGGAGCTGGTGCCGTTGCCTCAGCTTGGAGAGTACTTTTTGGGGGTCACCACCAGAAAGTGGGGTGGTGTTTTGCTGCTGCCAGCCCTTTACAGAGTAGCAATCCCAGCCCTTTTTGGGGATTGTTGCCTGAGCTTCTCACTGCCTGGGATCACCTCTGCCAAGAAGCGCCACTAGGGATCATCACTGCAATTGGTGCTTTAAGTGCCATTCAGGACTGATGCTGAGGTGTGCCACTCTTGTTGTGTTGCCACACACTTTAAGGGGTGGCACTTGGGATTGTCGCCATTTGCCACTGCTCTGGGGAGTGCTGCCTGGGATTGTTGCTGCTGCTGCTACTCTAGAGAACACAGCCCAGGGCTGCCACTGCTGCCATCACTTTGGATAACGTTGCCTGGGAGTTATTGCCACAGCCGCCTCTCTACAGAATGTTGCTGGGGCAGGCACTGGTGGTCTCCACTGCTCTTCAGGATGCTGCTGCTCTTGCCATCAGGTTCATCGCTGCCATTCCATAAGCATGGCTGGGGTCAGCTGAGGTCTGCTGCTTTCACTGCTACCACTCCATAAGCATGGCAGGGGTCAAGACAACAAGTTGTCTCTCAGCTGTGAAGATATACCAGCCTGCAAGAATGCCCTCAAAGTGGGACTCCACTCTGCAGTGCCCTTGGAGGCTCCCCTTTAAAAACAAAACAAAACAAAACAAAACAAACCCTGCCAGCCACCCCACCACTGGCCTCAGCCCAGGTCACAGTGAGACCTGACTTGCTGGTGATCCCTGCACAACAATCTCCTGAAGACTCTATGTACTTTCCAAATAAAAGAGGAGGAGGCCCGGTGACACAAAGATCTGCCAGTGATGCAAAGATTTTGCCTCCCTACCCTTTGTCCCCTAGAATTAAAATTTTAAAAACTCAAGATCTGGAAAATGGCACAAACAGGCCAGGCCCTTAACCTTTTGATCTTACATACCTAAGGAGGGTATGCAAATTTTAGGACACCTACAGGTCACATAACCAATGTACATAACCAAGGTTACACCAGTATGTACAGAGTTCAGAAAGAAACAAAAAAAAAACCCATGATAACTACAGAAATTATCTTAAGAAACAAAACCAAACCCTGAAATTGTCCATAAAGATTTCTAGAATTCAGAATTTCAGGACAGCATGCTGCAAGAGGCAAGGACTTTTGTGGGTGATACCTGTTATTGGACTTAGATAGTCTAGCCTAACTAGGCAGTTGATCCAATAAAAGATATCATCTACAAAAATCCTTTCCTCTCACATGATTCCTGGACCATCACAGCTATAACATCACTCCAACACTACCAAGATGGTACAAACACATGTTTCTTATCACTTCTTTACTTCAGTCCAAATAAATTTACCCACATATTTTGCAACTAAGATAGAAATATCAGAAGTTAAGACATCCAGTTATTTGTTTGCATGCACAAGTTAAATGCTAATTAATATTTGTGTCCGCATCAGATTCCAGTGGGTAACAGAATGGTGTTGTCACTGACTGGGAGTGAGCTACAAGGATTCAAACCTGTACCTCCCATCTTCCAGTGAGCACACTATCAACTACACTAGAGAATAGATCAGCTCACTGAGGTCTCTCCACACCTCCTTTTCGAGCTGTACGGAAAGGAATGCAAGATTCATTGCATCAGGACTAGCACTTGACTCTTTAGCCCCATCCAGTCTTGGAGACTGGAATCCTATGTTCTGATCTCCACAGCCAGGATTCCACCCCAATGGCTATCTACGTGTAAAATATATAAAGAACCCTTAAAGGTGAGACCTGATCCTAGGAATCTCAGGCTCCAAGGCAATCCTCCAACTACCACCCTGCTACACCCTGCTTTACCAGTTTTCTTTAAGCTATGCCACCAATACATAGAAATGCAATGTCCATGGGCCAGGAACAAACAAGAAAAAAGATAAGCCTACCTGTGGCATAGTGGTTTGACCTGTTACCTAGAGCAGGAATTCCTAGGTTCTGGTCCCTACACCTTGATTTGATCTTGTAATTTTTATCCTATGACTGTTTGATGTCAAATGCATGATGGGCCCTTGGAGCAGGGACCAGAAGGAAGGGCACCCAGCTCCCTGGAGAGTACCTTAACTAGGTCAGAAGTTGTTTCACCCTTCATCTTCATGCTGTGCCATTATGCAACTAGATGGTTAGAGTAGGCTCTTGGGAGAAAGCAAGTGTGGCCTTTAATCTCATCAAAATTTAGGTTCCTAAACTGGATTTGCAGAGTATATTCTTGGAGCCAGGTGCCTTAACTTTTAGGCCTGTGAATACTGGGCTTATGAATAAATCTCTTTGTGAATTCTTCCCTCAGGCTGTGGGACATCTGATTCTCCACTTGCTGCAATTTAAGCAGCTTTTTACATGCACTCCCAGATTGTGGGGTTTGATATATTAATACATTAATATATTCTGTTTATGGATCTTTGATGTACTTACCCTAAATCATCCTGGAAGATGCTACTTGATGTTAATCCTGAAAATGAGAGACTGGAAGTAGGTGGATCCTGTTGCTGACCTGTTATGACACTTACATCTCCTCCTGCCACCACCTGAGAGAACATTTTAGATCCCAATGAAAGTTGATATGCATGTAGCTGAACACCACAACCCGTTATAAGCATGAGATTATTTATAAGGATGAAACGACCAAAATGAGACTTATTAGTTGTTAAATGTTTAAGTACTTTTCAGTCACGTAAAGGATAAATAAAGTTGGATCATACTGTTTGAGATAAAGTATGTAGAAGTGTAGATTGCACAATGCTTGTTTCCTCTAACTGTGCTTTCCTTACCATGCTGTTTATTACTTTTTTAAGCTCCAAATCAAAGCATCAAAATGAATTCTGAGTGTCACTCTAGTGAAACATTGTACCTGTAATTCAATAGTGCCTGAAGCATTTTTCAACAGACTGACAGCTTGGGAGTGAGTCATGCCCTCAGTGGATGTTCCACAAATGCTAACAATCCTATCCCCGACCTGCAAATAAGAAAATAAAAGAGCAAGCCATTAATAACAATTTAGGTCACTGAGAACCACATGCTACCTTTGTAATACAGAATAAGAGAGTACCTCTTCCACAGAGAATTCTGGAAATGAGTAACTGGATCCAGTAGGTTTTTACCAACAATGTACTTCATAAAGAAATAATTTAGCACCTGCCTACAGCTAAATCTCTCTCTCTGGTCCACATTGTTAGGTGATATAAATCAAGGCAGTTCTAGTGAAATTCATATAGCTTCAGCAATGAGAGGCAGGTTAGGACCTGTTCCTTTGTTTCTGGTACATTTACCTAGCAGTTGCTTCTGGGACACCTTGATTCAATGGTAGTATAGAGGCATCTGTCTTCTACTGTCTGAATGTATGAGGGGATAATATGATTGCCTACACTTTAGAGATGTCAGCATTAAGGATTACACAGTGCTAATTAGAAGACAATATATGCAAATGTCAGACAGTCTATCCAGTTGTACACTTATGCACTATGTAAAGACAGGGAATCCAAAAAAACTGACTTATTATCAGGTTCAAATGCAGCCTGGAGTAATTCAGTGAATATACAGGCCAAATGCACTGTTTACATAAACAGTGGAGTAAACTGGTCACCCGCACACATCAATAGCTGCAAGTACAACCAATTCACACCAGTTTTAAGCTCACTTGGGTTTAAAGAAAAGCAGCCTGCACTGAGAAGCACAGTAGGAAAAGCAGCTATGTGTATAATCATTGGAAAGGCTGCTGATTACTCTGCCAGTAATGGGAGCTGATTTGTGGGGTTTATCTATATTACGCTCCTCCCTCTGTTTTCTGAGAATTATGCAGGTTTCATATCAAAGAGTTGCTTCAAATTTTCCTACTCAAATTGCTACCTTTGAGAAGAGACTAATGTCCTTGAAACAAGTCCCACCATCTCAAACTACTCAACACCATCTCAAACTGTTGTCTTGAATGGCAGAGATTGCTGACACAGCCTGAAGCCCTGATAAAAATAACATATATTTTTGTCATCCAGCCATATGAATTTATTAAACACTACCGCAAAGAGCTTCTTCACCTACCTTCTTGCTTAACAGCTAACTTACCCTGAGTTTCTGAGTCTGGGCTGCAACTCCATTGGGATGCATCATGGCAATAAATATGGGAACATCTCCCAGGGGACTCCCCACTCCTCCAGCAATGCTCACTCCTAGGGAATCTGCGGGGCCCTGATATGGTAAAGAAAACAGATTAAGAATATGTTCAAAAGAAAAATAATACAAAACAGGATTGCAAACCTAATTTGAGATACCAGAAAAGTGTCATTTTTTGAAAGTGCTCCAATCTATAACCTTTACATTTCTCAAACAAGACACCCCAAAATTAAGAGACCTAAAATATCTGAATACTTATGAAGAACTCAGCTTTAAACCCTCCAGGTCAATTTGCAATAATAGAGGAGGAGGTGGGAGGAAAGTGAGCTATGATACTCCTACCCTTCTTCAGGTCAGTCCATCTTTATGAACGCCTCAAAGATTACAGTTAATCTCTGCACTCCACCTAGTGTACTGCTGTTGTAGGACACAGATGAAAATTATTGTTCCGGAAGCTTACAAAACAGTATTTTGGCAAGCTATCTATAATAGCTGCAATGAAAATAAAGGTAGCCAAAATAAATCCATACAAAGTGATTAAATGTCACAATAAATAAATACTGGACAAAACAAACAGGAGCTAATTTTGCTGTTCCACACATGTAAATCAGGAAATCAATGGAACAGCACTAGTATAAAGTTGGTGAGTGCTAGAATCAATCTCATAATTTATACCCTGATAACTTTATCAAATCTATAGTACAGCTTCAAAAAATGTAATACATAGGTATGCTCTAACAAAATATAAGTGCATACTAGAAAGATGAAAAAATTATACTTCTAAAATAATGAGCTCATAAATCTAAAACAACTGAATTAGGTTTTAGTGGTTTTATTCCAATGCAAATGCAACAAAAGAAGTGCCCATTAGTTCTCACTAATTCTCTGTCTACCAATTTTCAGACAAACTTGGAGGCCTGTGTGTTATGTTAAAGAGATGTGTGTGTTACATCCTAAGAGCATTCTGAAGATTGAGGGGATGCATGTAAAACTGCTATCAATATATTGTTCTACAAAAATGGATTCATTAATTTAAAAAAACCCAAACCCAAACATTCTAATGAAAACTTATCATTTACAAGATTTAGGGTATAGGATTAAAAATCAAATCTGTGGCCAGATCCTCAACCTGGTATAATGACACCAGTTAAACTAGCCCCTGATTCATACAATGTTGTACTGTGACTTACCTTTTTTATTTCAACTGTTCTCAGTCCCTGTATTTCAGAAGCTACAGTGAAATAAAAAAAAACCCAAAAACATAAGTTGGCTTTTAAGGGAGCTTTCAATAATAGCCATGCAAACAGCTCTAATGATTCTGGCTTTTGCTAATTTATGCAACATTCTGTGAACAGATTTTGAAAGCTGCTGTCATTACATTAACAAGCTGAAGTACTTCTAAGATGGGAGGGAATAGGTATATTTTACATAAAATTAAAGAAAAATACCCAATCATTCATTTTTGAATATCAAATACATTCCAGAATAAGACTTTCGGGTCTGTTGTTCTGTTCTGCTTGAGCAATTTGCAAACAACACTTAAGGAGATATTGACTTTCTTGTAATTTAAGCATGAGAAAACAGTTACTTATCTCTCCTGATTTAACTATACAAAATCTGCTACTGTCCACAGATTTCCACACATGTGGTCCCCTTTTGGAATGCATGAGATAAACAGCCTAATGGAAGATATGCTCAGATGGGAAATTCTGATTTAACAATTTACAGTCTTACAACACAAACACCAGGTGTGGCAAGCTGCTAACAGTTCCTATTATATCAGGCTATAAAAATAAATATGCTAAATTTTAGAATAACTGCCATGTCTGCATTTTAGATTTGAAAGGAATTACTTTTAGTCCATCAATCTGGGACATTTCAGACAAACAATGCATCTCAACTACTGGATTCATAGACAGTTTAATGAGGTGTACATTTTCCATATAAACTATTAAAGGCCTCAAAGGAATCTTACTGGCATTCTTCTTCAGACCACTTTCAAAGGCCTCAGGTGGGCTGGAGCTAGAAACTGGGAAGCTGAATGATGACAGGCTGCCACTTCCTTCACTCACCTAAATATAACATCACATTGGGATTAAACCATACCTTTCAAACATCTAGCGTGCCAGAAAGTAAAATCACGATTAACAATCCTCAGCTATTTTACTATTTTCCCTCAGGTCTAGTTAAAAATCGCATACAATTCTACTGCTCCTTATTCTCTTGAACACACACTATCGATGTGCCCACACTCTCTATAACCATGATATTAGCCATAACTCCAAACACTTTTTCTTTCTCATACCTCTTTTGTCTGCAAAGTTGTGCATCACCCATTCTGCCACACTGACCAGGAAGCCTACTGCCTCTCAGGTCTTCCACACCACATCACTACTGTTGTTGTGGAGAGGGTTATCTATCTCTTAATTTTTATGATTTGAATCTCTCTACTCATTTTCCCTTTCAACTGAAAACACTGCTTCCCACCTTCACCTATGATCTCTTGTTAATTTAGACTCTACAAAAGTAAAGCTTCGAGGCCAGATGGATCTTTTAGCTTTGCGCATACAAATGCAATCTGGATTTTACTGATATCTGTGGAAGCAGTGTATGCATATATGTTAAAGGGTAGTACGGTTCATATTGTGTTATATTTTTCATTATTAGACAGTAGTGATACCATCTGGGCCGACTTGCTTGGTAAAAGTCATGGTCTCTTCAAGTAAAGTATGTGTTCTTATTGGGTTAATACCATGGGTTAATGTTGAGAACCTACATTTTCAGTGACAGCCAAATTCTGAATACCCAGGTGTTTTAAAGGCTTCTGGATACTGCAGTTTTTGCTTGGTCTTCCCACTGCTGTATGACTTCAATAGGGGTGTCAAACTCATCTGGCCCCACAGGCCAGATGATGGATGTGGGGCTGGTCTGAGGGTACCACATCCAGGTCAGTTCCTGCTGTCTTCCCTCAGTCCAAAGCAATCAGACATGTACATTTTTAGATACAGTTTCTATGAGACCTGGATGGTCTGTATGCTAGTTTTTATCCTGATTAATTTTCAATTTAGCCCAGACTGATCTCTGGAGTCTTCAAAAAAATGTGTGATATGGTTAGTAATGGAAACATTAAGAGAGACACATAACCACAGCAATATCATTTACACTGCAAGTACACCAAGATTACCTTTAGATGTGGAAATGGATAAAGGTCAAATAATTTATTAAAATTAATCAGTGGAGCTGACCAGAAAAGCCTGATAAAGACATAGATTCCTCTTTTCTGCACAGCTCTGTTAACCATACAAAATCCCCCTGTTTCTCACCCTTTCCAAAGATATGTGCTTTGTTGCTGAAGGTATTATTTGGCCAGGGTCCCTATGTGTATATCAGGACAGTGCAGGAGAGTGCTGAACAAAGTATTTCATGGGGAATATTCCATGCCACTGGTTTCATTGGGAGATTAAGCTCTACCTCCCAGGATACAGCCCTAAAATCACAATCAGGCAACACAACAAAGCTACTCCTGAAGCAACTGTTTGGTTGGATCATGCCTTTAGCCAATAAAACATGACCACCGAAAGGCTGTGAAACTTCTGCACATAAAAGATTCTGCTTTTCTTCAACTTGCATAGGTTAAGTGGAAAATCACTTTCAGTGTGAAATCAATTTCTTCTGTTTGCCTTCGCTGATTAACTACGTTTGCTCTTTCCAAACTAAACGGTTTCATAATAACTGACCTGGCTGCTCTGGGATGTTCTCCTCTCTGAACGGAATGGACCAGCTTTTATTCTTCCAACTTCTAGTCTCACAGTACCTAAGGAACACTAAAAACCAAGTAATTTATAACACACATCATTTAAACTGAGCCTGGATATCTTTCTGATGTGTATATATGCTATAGCTTGAACAGAACTTATGGACTCAGTGAAAAAATTACTGGTTGAGAGATTTTTTAGCTGATGTTACATGGAAGGCCACGTTAGGTGATAATCTGGTCTTAAAAGACATAAAATTACATGGAATCACCATGGCTCCTTTCATCTCAACAACTGCCCAAAACATCCAACTTTGAACACTAGCAAACTTAGAAAAAAAGTTGGAAGTCTATCCCAAATTATTCTCTAGTATCATCTCTATGATGGTCTGAACAAGAACTCTGGATCCATCCTAAAATCTAAGGGAAGTTTGAATCGACAGCCAAATACTCGTTTAGTCTTCTTTGATGTTACCTTTAACAAAGCAGCAACAGCCTCCTGGTTAGCATTTCGAACGTCTTCTCCATTCACCATTAATATCTGATCTCCTTGCATCAGTCTCCCATCTGCATCTGCTATTCCTCCTTTGACAATGTCTGACACAAACACCCCAGTATCATTTCTGCAAGCACATAAGGTATTATGTATTATACTAATATTCACCTAAATTAATTTACTATCCAGGCTTTTGAAACTTTTGCTTAAAATGCTGTTTCCTGTAATGTTTATGAAATAATATTGACCTAGATCTCATTGTACCTTACTCCATAAGTTACTGAGCTGGGACCAAATAAAGTGAAATGCTATTTGCCTCGTCTTGTTTACTACTGCAAAAAAGAACTGGCAGACACTGACAAAATAGAGTCACGTAATAATGATCTGAAAAAGACCATTTATGTCCTCAATCAAGACACGGATCATCCACTGGTTTTGATCCATACAAATTATCTAAAAGCAATGATAGGGTTTTCAAATTATTTTAAATTGTGGTCAAATAGAGGTTTACATAAGCTCAGCACATCTGTGGCAGACCTTTCCACCAGTGTCCTTCAGACTAAAAGTCTCCCAGAAAGTTTATACCTTTTCCCAACAATACTCAATCCAAGGCCTTTGCCTGGCTTCTTTTGCAACTCTATATTGAGAACATCATACATATCTTCTTCCTTGTACTGGGCTTCATCTCTGTACACAGTGAGACGGACTTTTTGGGGTGTCTGTCTGAGAACATTTATTGCTTCATCATGTGTGGCACTCCTCAGATCAATCCCATTCACCTGCAATATAACCACAGGTTGACTGTCGGATGTTAACTGAGCATGTTCATAATTTGAAAGAAAAGGTGATTACATTTTTTCATGGTAATTTAAAGTGATATACATAAGACCAAACCTCCAAAATCTGATCCCCAGCCCAGAGCCTTCCATCTTTGGATGCTGCTCCTTCTTCATACACCTCATGAATAATGATTGCTCCCTGTAGATTAATAAAAATACACTGCATATTGAAGGAACACCTTTAATACACACTGCAGTTGGCCCTAACTTTAGCTTTAGAGAATCAACTGTTGAAAACATGTTGCTGTGAAAAGAGAAGGCAGTAGCCAAACAATAAAAACAAAACATCACCAGTCTGAAAGAGAAGTCAAGTTCCTAATGGTAAAAGCAAAAGACCTTTAAGGATGTTACATTTTCTTCTACATGTAACAACAACCAAACCCATTTTAAAAGGGGACTGGACAAACTAATGGAGGAAAGGTCCATCCGTGGTTATTGAACATGATATATAGGGGTATCACCTCAAAATTGGGACTTCTTGCACTTTGAATGCTGGAAGCTGTATAGGGAGAGGGACAGGAAATGGATCAGTCTAGCCAGGTTCTGCATAAATATTTTCTTTAGCAGGGGTATAGGTTGTAGCCATGTTGATCTTAGGACATAGGCAGACAAGGTTCTTTGGGTAAATTTGATATATTTTATTAGACCATCTCAGATTGTTGGAAAAAATTCTTCTTCGCAAGCTTTTGGGCAGAAACATCCTTAGTCAAGACCTTTCCTTTAGCATTCACTCTATGCCATCATGAGAAAGACTGACCTATTCATTATGCAGAGGGAAACAGCAGACCTAGACCAACTAAGAGAACTAACTATAAGGCTCCCTGAATCAGGGAGGCCAGGAGAGGCATAACAGCTGATTACTTGGGACAACTAGAGAGAAAACAGGGATGGGAATGTGGGTCACAGGCTTATAACAAGTGTTTCAAGAAGGGGAAACGGAGCAGAGCATGCTGGCTAATGCCCACTGCCCCTCAAATGAGTCCAAGGAGCCCATGGACACTGCCTAGTGAAACTGCCTAAAGACACAAGCAGAGGAGTGATTAGAAGATGGCCCCACAGTTGCCAGGTTTCTCCTAGCCAAAGCCTCCTTCCTGCTCTAAGAGACGGTGAGTTTAGCCACAGCCAGGAGGAAGTTTACTAGGAGTTCCTGGAACTTGATGGGACATAGACGAGGAGTGCCTGCGAGAGACAGGCTACCAGATCACATGGACCCGTGGTCTGACCCAGTATAGCATTTCTTATATTCTTCAACTGAAATCAGTTCTATAAATTTCACTTACAGAAATGTATTTATTGCTTCGTCACTTGTCCAAAAAAGCCCACATTTACCTGTAGAGAAAAAAAGCTCTCTCTCTCATAGGGACTTTAACTTAGTACCATGGTCTCATTTTGAAGCAGCATTAATTTACTAACCAATAAGGTGTCTGCTCCCCCTACAATGCTCAGCCCAAGACCAGTGCGTCCTTTGGAGATATCAATGGTTGTTTCACATCCTGGGATGATTGGACACGTAGCTGGGTCAGAAGCTAATGTGGCTGGAGTGGAAGACCTGCTTGTATCTAAATAAAAGTTACAATGAAGCATATTAGCTATAATGAGTGGCTACAAGTAACTGAAATACAGCCTTTATATAAAATTTTGAGACATCACTGACAGTCTTACAGGAATATCTGTAAATGGGTCCAAAATGTAACCTAATCTGAAACATTACCAGTGTGATTGTGCAGTTCCTGACCCAGCTCTTTCTCCAAAAAAGGGCATGCCGTACAGTGGATAAAATCACAGCCCCTAATCTTTGCCTAGCCTACATAACTTCCACAAACCTACATATACTGAGCTTGTTTCCAAAGGCATGTACAAGGCAAACTAAATTATTTATTCAGTGTCTAGACCATAGTCTGCTGTCCAGCAGTTGCATATCACATGCACCCCACTGAAACAAACTGAATTAGATGAATGGGAATTGTATTCACATTAATAAGGGCATATACCAACTGAATATCTGAGTGATTAAGATCACAGATAACAAGAATGCATACTATAATGGAAGATTGTGAATGTATAACATATACTCTCCTTTATACAGCTTTGTACCTCTCTCACACCTAGGTCTAGCACATGGATGTTCTTGCTGTTTATGTTTTAACTACTTTTGTACATTTTAAATATTATCTATATATCTATCTGAATGTTGGAGAGGCAGTGTTGCTTGCTGATTAGAGGAAAGGCCAGGATTTTAGTTTTAAGCTAATCTGGAGCTCTGGTGCCCTGGGCAACCTGAAAACTTTTTAGGTCAAAGCTTACAGCTAGTTAGGTACCTCAGTCTATATTGCCCACCCCCACAATGTAGCTTGGCAGCAGCAGTATGGGAGCCAAGCAAGCAGATTAACCCTTCCCTGCCTACTCCCCTGAGACAGACAGTGCAGGCAGCCACAAGTAAGGAGAGGGGGGAAGGGGGAAGCCTGGAATGGGGTGGGAGGGAGATTCTTACCTTTCAGTCCTCCAGGCCCCTGGTGGCCTAAATGTGTGACTACTCCCAACTTGAGCTAGCATTAACATCAATTAACATTTATGTGGCTCACAGTGTAACATGTAACAAGGCCTTTAGATTGGTTTCTATGCCTAAGGTACTAGAGGGTTGCAATTCCTGCACTCAGAAATGTATGATAACAATTGTGACTGGTCCTAGAACACAGATGCAAATATCTGGGGCAGCTCTTTGCAGATGTTCATAATATTGCTTTTCATTTTTTATCACTTCATTCATGTGAGATAGGGCAAAACAGGAGGGTTCTTACTTTTAACTGTCTCTGATTCCAGTGACCCAGAAGGTAGAACCATCACTGGTTGCTGAAGGCTCTTCGGCTCACCTGTGGTAGCACTGGGAAGTGGTGGTGATGCTATTTGACTATCATGGTCAGGCGAGTTGACCATAAGCTTCACTGTAGTTTTTGACGTCTTCAACAGACTGATAAACTTAGTAACAAAGAGAACAGACAACACAACTCTCTAATTATGACAAATAGATAATTAGGACATTATTAGCAATGTCATAGGAACTGTTCCATGAACTGGAGCAAAACATCCAGTGCATGGTGATGTGGGAAATGAGAACAAGGGGGAAGATTGATATTTTGATCAATGTGTGTAAATATGGCAAATTTCTATGGGCCAGACCTCAACTCATGTAAATCAGTTTTAAATGACTTAAATGAAACTATGCCAGTTTATACCGAATTTGAAGTTGTGATGCACAATTTTTGTTATCTTTCCTAGTTGAAACACTGTATAGTAATTAGTGAAAAACCAGAGAACTGGTATCAATCAACACTGTTTATAGAGAGACAATGCCAGAGCTCTTACTGAATAAAGGAAGAATGGGATCATACCAGCCAAATACTTTGAGTTAATTCATGCCTTGAGAAGAAAATATAAGAAAAATAGCAAATGAATGAAAGAATGAGTGAAGAAGATGCTGGGGAAGTAAGCAAAATGGAAGAAAACACACTATCTGATCCTTATAAGGGATTAAGCAGCTTTCAAATCCCTTTGACCTCTGTGAGAATGGGCAGTACCTCACATTGAGCTTCTCTCAGGCTCATGGCTTTGAAGTGCAATTATTAGAACAGTGCCTACATCAGACTGCTATTTTAAGTAGCAGATCTGTTCCTTGCTCTAAACCACATCTGCTTTCTCAGCAAACACTGAATTTTACTACATCTTACTCCCTTATCACTGCAGAGCTAACAGAATTAAATAGATTCTATTCTGATTATATTTTATCAAGCAGAATCTGTTTACCCAGTTCTAATCACTAACACTGGTAATGCAGCATAAGCCAGACAGGGCACAGCTTGATTCTGTATTGAGCTCAGACTGTGTTTGCAGAGCTCAAAGTTAGCACAAAAAAATCTTTTTTAGTTATGAACTGAGTAAATTTTACCTAAAAGCTATGGAGATAGCAAACTTGAAACCATACACTGCTTTTTTATACAGTCATTTCTAAGGGTTCTATCACAGTTTAATAATTTGTTGTCATGAATTATGCTTTCCAACTGGGAGTGACTTGCTAGTGTAAAATAGCAATGTAATACATACCACTGTTAATATAAGTGGTTCCAGTTCTACGTGCTTATCGCCTAAGTGAAACAGGCCAGAATAACCATTCCACTCCAGCTTTCATTCTATACCAGAAGAGTCTTTTTCAGTATACACTGGAAATATATTAATTTAGGTATAGAAAATGATTTTTTAGTGTAGAATAAGACTACCCAAAAAGGGAGTCAGTGTTGCGCTTTAAATTCATGCTAACTTGTTCTGCAGTAGCTCCTCCGTATAGACAAGCCATTAGAGATGCTGGTTTTTAGGCCTCTGGCACAAGTTACACTTGAAGTGTAGATCAATAAATTGTAACATGCCACATATCCATTCCACATTTATTACCTAATAACAAACCACAAAAATGCTCATCCAGTCACAAAGATGTTACTTGTAAAATATCTTTGCAGCTTGTTTGTATTCCACTTTTATTTGAACATGTGACATGTTCCAGATAGTATGACAGTGTTTGGCCAGGTCCTCCAGCATACAAGGGTGGACTGTTCTCTCTTTTTCCTCCACCCCCTCCTGCAAGGAACTCTAGGCTGAATTTTGTTGCACAGGGTGCCTCAGCAGG